TTAATACTCAGCGTTGATTCTGTCATGGTGTTAATCCTTAGCTTGTGTTTTTCATTTAAAGTCATTGAAGCTAAACACTGAAGACCAAAGAAATCTGTCACTTCTTCAATTCTTCACTTTTATTTGAAGGACTTTGACTTTGTTTGTCTCATATTTGAACATTTTGATCGGATCGATCTGATCAAGGAAACTGTCCAAGTTACAAAGAGCAAACCCAGTGAGAGAATTCTGCTCGTGCTGAGTTTAAGAAAACTCTAAACTGGTCCAGAGTCGTAGATGAATCCAATCAGACAGTTCAACTTCTCTGGTTAATTTTTCTCTTACTTGTTTACGTGTCTCTATTCAACTCTTTTCATTTCCTTTAAATGCTTCTTTTATGTTTGATCTCATGTTGCTTTTACATTTTCTCACTGTGTCTTTTATATTTTATGTGAAGCCTTTGACCTGAGTTGTTTAATGAAACCAGTTATGTGACAAACCTGTCTCACCTTTTCCCGAACACGTCGTCAGGACTTGTCGAGCAAAACGAGATCAACAACATTCCTCATCTGACTGGAAATGTTTGTGTACACGTACAAAGTATGAAGACGAAATGTCTTTGACACTACAAAGTTTTTGCACAGCTGCAAAACCTTTTACATGTGTACAAAATACTATAACTAAACATTTAACATATGTACTAAATATTTACGTAGCTTCACATGTTTTTTTACACACATATAAAGCTGAAGTACAACTACAACATTATTTCACAAAATATCAGAAACTCAGTAGAGCTCATTCCTCAGTCTATTAAATTCTATACAGCTGAACCAAATGACTCGTAGGTATCATTCTAAATGTGTCTCCACTTACAGAGAGAACATGATCTCCTGGATCCTGCTGCTCATCCTCCTGATCTCCTGCGTCTGTGGTCAGTTCACATCTTCACTTCATCGTCCATAAACTTCAAATAATCAAATAGTTCAGGTCCTCACTTTCTCTCTGTGTCTCTCAGCAGGAGCATTAGAGGTGAAAGTGTCACAGCCCCTCTATCAGGCAGAGGAGAACAACAGCGTCACACTGGAATGGAAGTTCACAACTGAACCTGACAGATCCACCAACTCTCTTTCTATTATCTGTGATCAGACGACTGACCAGAAAGACTCAAAGATCCTGTATCACCTCCATAAGGGCTCCGAGGTCCAAAGGTCTCAGGATGAACAGTTTTCAGGACGAGTCCAGTGTGACGGAGACGTCCTCAGAGAAGGACGACTCAGACTTCAAGTGTCCAGACTCAGGAATGAAGACTCAGGACAGTACATGTGTGAAGTCAACAGAAATAATGATGGAAACTTTGGAAAATGTCAACTCATCGTCATTGGTACGTTGATTTAGCAGAACTCAGTAGAACAGTAAAATAAGACTCTTAAAAAGTAAAAAAAATAAAGTCATTGATCTTTTCAATACAAACTCACTGATCACCTATTTTTACAGCAGCCGCTGATCAGCCCAAACCCCAGAGACCGACCGTGACTTCACAACCAGAGAGAGGGTTCCGATACTGCATCACTGTGATCGTGATTGTAGCGGCAGCTCTCACAGTAGCTGTGATTACAGCAGCTGTGTTGGTCAAACTCAGCTCTGCTTCCAGATGTGCTTATAGAAAATCTATTGGTAAGACAGAAGAGCACTTAGCAGGAGAAACGTTACATCACCCAGAGTGGGGCCTTCTCTCTGCCCCTGCACCTTGTTACCCTGTGAGTCTCTGATCCTGCCTCCTCTCACCCCACAATGGGTTGGACAGATTCCTTGTGTCAGATAAAATATTCAGAGTAAACTTGTACAAGGGTCAAACACAACAGGAGAGTTAAAGGTTCAGTGTGTAGAATCTTGTGATGTCTAGTGATGAAGTGTCATGTTGCCGCTGAACAGCCCTCACCTCACCCTCTCCTTCCAGACATGAAGAAGAACCTGTGGCAGCTTCAGTTGTCACAAAAACTCAAAGGGCGTTTAGATTGTCCAGTCTGGACTAAAAAAAACATGGCAGCCTCCGTAGAGAGGGTCCCCTCGATGTAAATTTAAAGCATTTCAAAATAAAGGGTCTTTTCTGGAGTAAAGAAAACTAGAATTCATAGAATTTAGATGAAATGAACTTCTGAAAACAGGATTATTTCACATTCAATTTCTGCCAATAGTTCCCTTTCACCTAAATCTGACACACTGGACCTTTAAGACTCATAACAGCAGGTGGGAGAACAACAGGGTGACTGATGAATGAACTCACTTAGATCTAAGTCTTCATGCCTCATGACATCCTTCTGGCATCACCTGCAGACAGCTGATTGTTTGGTGTTCAGAGAGGCAGGCATATAAGGTGGCATCCACCAGCTACAGAAGGAGCCTCATCACAGTTTAGATTTGCACAACATGTAATGTGACTTCTGGATATGAATTAAGTTGTATTATGTCAAATAACAAGGTGGAGGAGGAGCTTAGTATATGAACTCTACTTTGAAAAGTAAAATTGTTTGAAACATGAGTATAAGTGTGGTAAACACTGAAGGACTTATCCTGCAAGAAAAACACATTGTTCATCTAGAAATATCTTTTGAATAAAAAGATGAAAACAGGTAAAAGAAATATAAAAATAAATTAGTATGGATGATAAATAGTCATAAAAAGGCAAACGACAGTCATTTACTAAATAAAAACAGAAACAATGTGAAAGCCTCATGGGAAATAATAAATTGTGTATTAGAAAATGTAAGTGATAACACTGAAACACTGAACACTGTATAAAAAGAAATTGTGACAATTGACGAGATGGACATGATACTGGTCAAAATTGTTATTGAGCCATTTACATACAGATGCATGTTTGGGGCTCGCCTCCCCTAGGGGGCGCCAGAGTTCTTAAAGGGGTTGTGGTAAGTGAGGTGTTAAAAAGAAAATGTACTAAAAGTATAGGGGGGGGGGGGCTAACTCTCCCACACTTTGAAAACCTCTGGCTTAAGTGATTCCACTTAATAAAACTGCAGTTAAACATGAATGAGCTAATATTAAATAATAAGACTTCTATAATTTGGCATCAGAGGCGTCACATCAGTTGGTGTTTCCTCTCATCAATGTAAACTGTGTCATTTTGCTGATGAACTCGGTTCCATGCAGCATCTATTGCACTTCTGTCCGTCCTGCGAGAGGGATCCTCACATGGGGCTCTTACTGAGGTTTCTACATTTTCCCAGAGGATGTTTTGTTGTTAAGCTCTATGAGAAAAAATTGTGATTTGTGAATATTGGCTAAACAAATAAAACTTGATTGATTGATTGAAAATTGAAAACAGTTTGTTCAGATTAATAATATCAAATCAGAATCATATAAGATGAATTGTGGGGTACCTCTGGGGTCAGTTCCGGGACCAAAACTGTACATTTTGTATATTAATGATTTGGTTTATGTATCCAAACTGCTCAGGTACATTCTGTTTGTGTAAGATACTTTCATTGAAAAAGAATTGGACAAAATGAAAAAATTGTTTGATATAAAACATTGACGCATCAACAAATATGGAAGGTATTGAAATTTGTAGAGTAAAGGAAACTGAAGTATCTAGGCGTCATGATAGATGAGAATTTGAACTGGAAATAATATATAAATCAAACAAAGGTGAAAATATGCAGAACAATAGCTGTGATACACAAAGTGGAGGATCCTTCTTTCAAATCGTTCCTTCATTATGTTGTAGCTTTGTTAGTGTGGGTTCTTGATCGTAGATGAGGGAAACAAACACATTTTTTAAATATTTATTGGGTCTGAATACTTGGACATGTTGTTTCCAGTACATGTACATGAAATAAGGGGAGCATTTAAAAATAGGTTTTCATTGAGACTTTAAACATCAAGAGAGTCAGTGCAGTGTTATTACCACGTGTACAAAAAAGCTGCAGATGTAAACTGGATTCATTTTTTATCAGAGTTAAAACTAAAGTTAGAAAAGAAGAAAACACTTTGTTGTAACAAAGACTTGACGTTTTCGTATCAGTCTGTGAAACTAAACTACTTGTATTTTCTTATGTCAGTTACTTAGGTAAAGCATGATGTCATGTTTTCAAGAGTTTTCAGGCAATAGTGCCCTTAAAAATTCAGACGCCTCATTTGAAAAGACTACTGTGAAATCCGTGGATCGATCACCCAGCAGGCCTGTGGGCTCCAGTCAGAGGTCAGGAGGGTCAAACCATCGCGAGATATTAAATGACCAGAAAGAATCGTTTTCAATATGGAGGTAGAAGGCATTTTTCCCACAATCCATCCATGGTGATAACACAAAGAGTCTTAAAGCTAGCTAGTCAGCTAGCTCTGCGTATTAATTTGGGTTTCCTGAGTTTATTGCTGCAGAAACAAGAGCTGCAGACAAGAACATCAGAAAATACTCGATTGGAGTTAGATGGTAGCAGGCTGGAGATAAAAGAGAGGAAAGGTGAGGATGTCCCGGTGTTTGAAAGACTCCATGTTGGTGCCGAGGTGGTTTCTGAAAGGTGCTAAGAGGAGGTGGAGAAGGAGAAAGGAGAGAAGGGGAGGACGGAGGAGGTGGCTTCAGAGGAGTCGAGGAGCTGGTCGCACCACTCCGGCTCGTCCAGGTTTATTTCAACGAATGGGTCACTGGAACAAACCGCTAATGAAGACATGAGAAAAGAGAAAGAAAGACACTGAGATTGTAGTTTTTAATTTTCTGACTTTCTTTGTTTTTCAAAGTTAGTTAGTTAGTTCGTTAGTTCCCTAGTTAGTTAGTTAGTTATCTTTCTATTCTTACAGGGATTGTTGTTGTTTTCATTCTGCTGCGTCTCTCCAGTATCATCGAAGAACAGGTTGGCGCTGCTCGGTGAGTCGGAGATCATGTCAGCTGGGTCATCGCCCGCTGTGGGGCTGGTGCTACAGCTCAGTGATGACGTCTCCAGACCGTTTGCATGTGTTTGTTCCTGTGGAGCTGGACAGAGGGACCAAACAGAGGAGGAGAAGACAGGGTAGGACATAATGTGAACTTGGTGACAAGGTACAGACTTGATCGATGTTTTAACCACTTCCTGATACCACACATTGGATTCTTCGTTTGATTTTGTACCGTTCTCTCCATTGGAGCCCTTTTCCTCCGACTGGGGACTCGTGCCGTTGGTTACCGGAGGTTCACTGGTGGCTTCTTGATCGTTAGGGGCTGAGATACAACAAACCAAAGCACACAAGTCAGGATAGTCTCATACACAGTTCGATCGCAACGCAAACAGACACACAAACACACCTAAGTCATCGAGGTAGACTGGTTCAAAGGTGCCGGTGGGACCGTTGAAGTGATTGTTGATGGGATCTGGAAACTGGAGGTCAAAGGAGTACATCTGGAACAACAAATAAAACAAACACACAAACAAAAGCATTACTGTGTAAAATAGGTTTTGTAAAAGAAAGGTCACTCAAAAATAAAATAAAAATAACTGTAACCCGTCCTCCTACCCTGGACGCTCTCCTTAGAAAGAAGAGGATGACACACAGAGCAATGATCGCTATACAGATCAACGCTATGATCACATAACCTGGAGAAAGAGGTAGAGAGTGTTTTTAGTTGCATCAGCATTTGAGGATCCACAATAAGTGTTTTACAACTTGAAACACGTGTGATTCATAAAGTCTGATAGTCGATGTGCTATAAGAATCAGTGTGTGGGCAAAGAGAATTAAAACTGCAGCGTAAAATCTGACCGGATAAAACTGAAACATGCTGCTTAAGGTTGATAATGGCTCAAAGTAATGAAACAGCATCCTTACCCCATGACGAATTATCACTGTTTTCAGTTTCCCCTGAAAGACACAGAGATCTGGTCATCGTTCAGTAATTCAAATGTATGTCATTTCATGGTGTGGCGCCCTCCAGTGGAGAACACAAGCAAAATTAATTTACAGATTGACAATCAGGCCGGACGAGTCAGATCTCCAGATTTAAAAATCAACATTAACCTCCTGCTGTTGACACAAACAATGTTTATCTGCAAAGTCAGCATTGCAGCATCTTTCATTTCAGTTTTTATTTCTGCTCAGTCCAATGGTCATCATCAACTATCAAAGTTGTTGCTGATTTATTTTCTCGTTTTGACTGTGAACATTAAAATCCACGTGGGAAACTCAAACCTGTGCATGTTGTGCGTTTGACTTCAGATGAGTGTGACAGTGTGTGTGTGTGTGTCCTTGTGCAGCAGACAGAGAATGTGAGCATGTGAACGCTGTGGTTTGACAAACAGGAAGACAGAGTGAGGCACACGACTTGTGAAGCTTCCTCTTGACTTCAGTGAGGTACCTGGCGTTTGTGAGCTGCTTGCTGTTGTCATAGGAACTGTGGCTTTACCGACAGCAGTCCCCTCGGTCCCGCCGGTCGAGGCCGAGGCCGCTGTAGGTGCCGGTGTGCTGCCCGTCCTGGTCTGTAAACAACGTGAAGGACAGATCGCAGCCTGAGTTCGAAGGCGTGACCTAGTTTCATCATAAATAACATTTGTCTGATCTATTTTTTGACCTTTGATTTGCAACAAAGGTCAACAACCAGAATTATACGAAAAATTTACTTTGAAATTTGGCACAATTAGTGATAGTTAGTCTAAATAATCAATATATCCAACTCTTAACTATCAAGTTCATCTCCACCTCGATAAAGGATTCTTCTGCATGTTTATTAAAAGAGTCCCAAATCTGTTTTAGGATATTTTGCATTAGCATATGTCAGGAAACCCTTATTATGAAAAAAGGGTTTTTTCAGTATTGAGAAAATCATTATTAATATAATTATATGCTCGGGTTGGCGTCATCGCTCACCATATTCACTGTTGAGGTCACGTCTGTGGCATTTTCCAACTCATGACTCGGAGAGTATGGGGCGGTCAGCGTTGCGTGGGTGGAGTTACTGTCAGTGTCATTCAAAGACTCAGGCAGAGGGGGAGGAGTCCAGGTGGGAGCGGGACCTGCGTCTGTCACGAGGGAGACACAGAATCAGCCAGATGTTTTATTTGAACAGCCGCACGGGGCAGATGCAGGATGTGGTCGCTGTCACCATGGCTACGACTCTGGTGGTAAGTCAGAGTGTGACGGCGCCAAACCCAGGACAACAGAAAGTGATTGTGCGGTAAAACATGTCATGGTCTGACAGGACATCACACAACACGCATAGCAACATCCAACGATGCAAAAGTAGTGAGTAACACAACAGGATGGTACAAGACAAGAGGACAGCACTGGACTGGACAGTATCTGACACTTTAGCTCAAGACCATGGACGGTATATCAAGATGGCCGACATGACAGCTCCCAAAATTGAAGCCAGAGTTTCTCGATTGTCCCCCGGTGGTTGGGTCCAATGTAGATAATCAACCCCCTCTTTGTCCATGTTCACACATGGGACATGAACCAAACACTTTTTTTTTAAGTAGACGTTATTGGGGTAGACGGAATTGAAGACGTGTCGTCCATTTTTATCTACTGTCAATGGTCTGGAAAATAGACTGTGGACAAGACAATATATAACAGGACAGGATAGTATAATGTATGAAACTACAGGTCAGAACACTACAGCAGGACAGGACAGTACAGGGACGTACATGGACTGAACTGTAACCTACAGCACAGCAGTGGTTCCGCAAACTTAAATAACGTTAGACCCACCAACGACCCACCCAGACCCACATGAAGTACCTGCACTCTCCTCGTTACGCGTTGGATCTGTAGTTGAGGGTTGTCCTCCAGAAATCAAAGGGACCGCTAGAACTGAGACGGACAGAGAGAAGGATGGAGGGAGAAAAACGTAGGGTTATGGGTCGTCAGGGAACGAGGTCGTAACAGGCCACATAACTGAAAACACCAGTGATACAAAGACTTAAAGATGATGTGACACTTTTTAGAAGTAAGAGAAAAATCCTGCAGAGGACAAATAAACATAAAAGCATATATATGTAAATAGAAGTGTATTTATTCTCTATTTGATGACCTCTGACCTTTGACGATGGTGAAGCATTATCATAAAACGAATAAAATGTTTTTTAAAATTAAAACAGTTTTATATTTTCTGTGTTAATAACCAAAAATAAGATTTTGAAATGTTTCCTTGTCGCCCTCGTACAGTAAGAAAAGCTTTGAAGAAGAACTGATCGACCGTGGAAACAACTGAAACGGAGACAAAGCTTCTTCGGCGTCTGAAGGCGGGATTCTTCATCTGCTTCCAAATGTAACGTTCGTCCTCTGTTCATCATGTCGCGTATCGATAAATCTACGTTTTTATGCAAAGCCATCGTCCCTCAAACTAAAACCGAACAACGTTAGCGGAGAAACGTCAGTTAGTGAAAGCAGGTGACAGTTGAGCTCGACTCACCGAGGAAGCAGAGTCGACGCCACGACTTCATAATGTCGACGTTTTATTCCCTCTCAGATTTAGTTTCTTTAAAAAGGTGGACGATCATCAGCAGAAGCTGCCGACTTTCTCTTTAAGTTTTATGTATTTTGTTCCTTTTTTTCCGACCCTGTTGCTCGCCCTCTGTTCTCACTTCTTCTCTCTGAGTCCTCAGCTTGGTGCTTTCTCTTTCTCGCTCTCTCTCTCTCTCTCACTCTGTCTCCACCTGCTCTCTGTCTCTGTCTCTCTACCTTTCCTCCCCCTCTCGCCCACTCCTCTGTCATGTCACCTCTCTTCCATTATAACCGTCTCTCACTTTCTTCCTTCTTTGCTCTTGTTCAGTTTATAGCAGTGATGCAGAACACAGTCACTTTTACTGATTTACTGTGGATAGATATACTATCTTCACTTTATGAAACTTTCTCTCCACCATAATCCTAACAACCTCCCTTAACATCACAACCCCACAGTCTGTCTCTCTCTCTCTCTCTCTCTCTCTCTCTCTATCTCTGCCTTCACTCGCTCTCAGTCAGTTTTCAGGAACTGAGTCATCAACCACATGAGCACAGGATGCTATAGCTGAGCTCAGTACCTCACCAGTGTTATTCAGTGATCAACGTGTCCATGTCGGACGCAAGACCTCGGAAAAATCGACCTGGGTCCAAATAAAGTCAAGGCCGCAATATCTCTGCGTGAAATTCTCCCATCGATTGGATGTAAAAAAATATTGATAATGTGCGAGTTAGTCACACAAAACATTTTCTAGTGTGCAAAGGCCTTAGTTTCAAACTTTTACAAATCATTTTTATTTTTCCTAAATTCATAGACATTGAACATATTTGAGTTTCTCTGACAGGGAGGTGATTCAATCTGGTTATTCAGATATAAGGAGAGACATCATCTGCATTAAGTCACACTAAAATAACCAAAGTGTCACAGAGGGAGAATATAACAAGCAGGGTTCTTCGTGATTATAGAGTTAAACACACATGACGACAAACACGATGCTCTTCAGCGTGCTGACATGCACAGAACGAGGAGAACGTAGACCAGGCAGCGGGGGTCCATGTTCGCTCTGGAGGAGGAGGAGGTTTCGCCTGTAGCAGGAGAGAGAAAACAGAGCGGGGTCGTTTCGTTATTCAAAATAGAAAATTAAACAATTTTTTAAAACTTCGCTCATCCAGTAAATGAGCCTGACCAAAATATATATTTCACTGATTCAAATTCTAATATTTAGTATTTTTGTTTTTACTTAAACTGGTTTTGACCTAAACACATTTTCTTTTTCATCTTTTTAAAGTTGTTTGCTCATCGTCGGATTCACTCCTACTGCTTTTGTTGTGTCTCGGTCCCCCACCTCCAAAACAAACACAGTGGAGGCTGAGGTCACCTGAGGAGGGAGGAGTGGAGAGGATGTCTTCAAATTCATCAATGGAATCATCAGATGAATCTTCAAAGTCACTTGTATCTTCATCAAACTCTTCTAAAGACATCACTGCGACACCTGCAGCGGAAAAAGAAGTGGACGAGGAAATTAAACATGTTTAACAGTGAATATGAGAATAAAAATTCTGCAAGAGAGAAAATATATTGAAATACTAAAATATAGAGCTGGAATATTTTTCATATCAGTCGACATTGATAACTGTCACGTTATTATGTTCTAAGTTAAGTTTTGCTGCTGACTGAAAGTTTTGGACAATATTATTTTACCAATCTGAGGTCGATCTATGTATAACCTCCTCCCTGTGGCTGTAGAACACATTTGCAATATGTCAGCTCGTATTAAACATCTGTTATATTGCTCTTGAAGAAAATTGTATTGTGATAATTAATGTTGAAGGTGAATAAAAAAACCTGATTACATTAATATTCTTTTAATTATGTGGAAGTGGGTAAGATGTGGGATAATATTTGGCTCCTGATACTGAGTTTGAAAAATCTAGGTCAGGTTTTACATTAGTGACGTAGTAGAACTTAAAGAAACAGGAGGAGTTTTTATCAGCAGTTGATGTCCTGATTCTTCTGTTGCTTCTCGCAGCGATGGATGAAGCTGTTTGGAAATGAATGGAGGTGAGAAACTCACACTGACTTTTAAATAAGTCAAATCAAAGCCAGGAACAAAGAGAAAATTCTGCTTTGTGCTGAAATGTTTGTTGTTTCCTTGATTGGATTTAACATTCGTCAATATATATTTTAATATTATCAGATCACAGAAATCGAGACGCTGGCTCCAACACAGTAAACAACAGTTTTTATACGGACTCACCGAGAACCCACAGCAACAGATAAAACTTCATCCTCGTCTCTTCTTTTTCTTCTACGTCTGCTGCTGCTGCTGCTGCTGCGTCTTTATCATCTGTCGCCTGAGGACTAAATGCGTTAACAGAGGAAATAGCAAACCAAACTTAGACCACAGTAATTATCATATGTGCCAGTCACAAAACTGAGGAGGATCGCAAAAAAAAAAGACACAAACAAAGCCTTAACAGTGATCACAATATTTTATGTTTTTTTATGGCAGCATTCACCCTCAACAGGAAGGGCTGAGCGATGTACAGCTTCAGAGTGCAGTCTGATTCGTCCATCCCATAACAACAATGTAATAATGATGGTTTGTACAGTGAAGAGGACGGTAGTGTTTACAATCAAGGAGAACAACGATCGGATGAACTTCTGAGTTCAGCTTCGTTTGAAGATACGGTGATTACGTTTTCCGTCGGTGAGTTCGGTTCAACAGCAGGTTCGTCCCCGGTGACGTGAAAATGAAGGAAGAGAGAACACAGATCTCGACAGTGACGAAAATCAAACAAAGAAATCACAAAGTTTACATCAAAAACAATGAAGCACAAACTGAAACATGTGCAAACGAGATAGAACCAGATTTGACATTTGCATAAGATACAACATGTTTAATATATATTGCACGAAAAAAATCTCTCTGTCGGTTGGAGTAAGGCCTCGTCATGACTGTGTACGAGTGTTTCTGAATATAAAGACACAGCAGATAGAATATTTCAGAAACAGTGTAGAGACTATTTGTACTGACGCCACAAACACAAATTATTTTCATTAACATAAATCACATGGGTGGGGGGAGGGGATGGGGGATATTCAAGTGCTGCCAGGAATATATACAAATGTACAAATCGATGCATAAAATCTAAATAATTTACTCACATGTACTTTTAGAAACCCATCAGTCTTCTGCTGGAGTATCACTTCCTTACGGGCACATTAGTGGCACTTTCTCAGGCAGATTTTAACAGCGAGACAAAAACAACCCTCTGATTACTCCTCGGGAGAACAGTCCGCTGCGACGCTGTGCTCCTGGGCGATGGCGGCCAGCTCTTTGAGGAACTCTGCGAACAGGACGATGGCGAACACTCGGCTCTTGGCTTGGGGCGGGATCGGAGGGCAGGGCGGCAGGACGCCAAGAGGGGGCAGAGCCAGAGCGTTTTGCACAGAACCGTTGGGGAGAGATGGGTCCAGGATGAAATCGCCGCCGTGAGACTCGAGGCACTCTGAGGAACACGAGGGCGGTAAAGTTCAGTGTTCTACAGACAACAAGTTCACCAGATCATCAAACGCCACCTGAAATCCACAACTATTCCAACTTCTAGTGTAGTTAGCTCATAGAGTCTCCAATACTATGTTCAGGTAATAACAATGATAATATTCATGTAACTAGAAGAAGCGACTCTTCTTTAATTTCAGGCTCTAAAACCTTCAGCCTCATTTCCCAGATGTGTGATAGACACTTGTGTTTATTCACCTCTGAACTTGCTGTCCTGGTCTTTCACCAACAAGAACCTCCAGGCCTGAGTGACCAGCGCTGGATATTCTGGTCTGGCCGCCACATAGCACTCGATCTGCGTGTGCACCGACACCAACACCTACAGAGAATTAAAGTAAAGGCCACATTATCATTTAGAAGTGCGAAACAATGGCGTGAGAAACCAAACCAGATGTATATGACGTGTGATTGGATGTTACCTGGTACAGAGTGCGTACGTTGGGCTGCACGTGCGTCGTGTCCGTGCTGAGCATGAAGGATCTCAGCAGAGGTTGTGGGTACGACGCCAGCTGGGCCAAGATGCCCGTCACCAGCAGGTTTACGGCGATGGAGTTTTCCAGAATGTTCTCGAGCCGGGATAACAGGACGCTGATGAACGGACCTGGGACACCGTGGTGAATGTATGATGTGATTTATTAAATCATTCTCAACAGAAAGGTCACTTCCTAACGTTCTTCCACAGTTGAGACAGTCTGCTGCTGCCAGAGTGGTGACGCAAGCACAAAGCCTCTTTCAGTTTTTCTAACGGAATTCAGAAAGCTACTTAAAACACTCGGGCTCAAAAGCACACACCTGTAAATGGAACTCCATTCCTGCTGCTGCCTTTTGTCTCGTCTCCTTCCTCAACCTCCTCCATCGCCTCCTCCTCCTCCTCCTCCTCCTCCACCTCTCCTTCATCCCACGATGAAGTAAAGAGCCCCTCTTCCTCCTCCACCAGTTTTTGCCTGAGCGCTCGGACCCGCCTTCTGAATGTGCCGATGTCCTCCGCGAGGTCATCACAGTCCGGCTCCGCCCCGAGAGACAGCATGAGTTCCTGGTACTGGGACAGGAAGCCGTTGTTATTCTTCACTCTGTAATCAGGCAGAGACCTCGTTGGGTAACGTGGCTCGGAGTCATCGTGGCCATTGGGTAAAACGTTTGTCCCTAAACACATCGTTAGATTTTGGGTGTTGTGACGTAGAAGCTGTGGGTGTGTTGTTGGCTTTTGATTGACAGTTGTGATAGTTGTGATGTCACTCGACTGGTCGTCGTCTTCGGCATCGTCACGTTCGTCGATGATGTGATTCTTTACGTTGAAACCGTTGGTGAAAACTTGACGTCCCGTCGTCTCTCCTTGTGATTCAGGCCTGAGTTTCTCGTCTTCCTCCTCCTCCCTCCTTCTCCCAGTCTCCCTCCCGCATTCCTCGCTCCTCCATTTCACCTCCTTCCCGAAAACTTCGCTCCCTCTTCTTTCCTCCCTATCTTCGTCCTCGCTCCTCCTCCTTGTCGACATAATGCTGTTAACTGTTTCCATTACCGTTCTCCCTGTCGTCGTCAACATCGCAGTGATCGTCGATGTCATCGCTGCCTTTGGTGCTTGCCGACCATGTGAGATGTTCCCACGTGCCAGTCGGTTTGCTGCCATGATCCGCTCCAACATGGCCGCCTTTGTGTCCTTCTGGGCAACTAGATCGTAGACCAGAACGTCGTCCTGGAACTCGGACTCCTCCACGTACGAGCCATGCACCAGCTTGATCGCACTGCGTCGCATTTCCTGGATGTGCTGAGGAGGTAAAGGAGGAGCTGGACCCAGAGTCACGATGCCGTTTGCAAACCCTGAGTTCATCATCGCCGATGAAGAGGGATCGTCATCTGCGAAAATGTCATCCCACTCCAGCTCCAGAGCGGAACTGGCTCTTCCTGACTGGTTGTTTGTGGAGGCGGCATCTGAGGAGGAGGGGGTGGGGGAGAGGGCAGAGGGGGGAGGAGTGATGACCAAAGAGCAGATGGAGTCACTCTTGACTCGCTGGACAAATTCTTCCTCTTCGTCTATGTCGCCCCCTGGTGTGTCAGATCGGTTTTCGTCAGACGAGGGGTTGATCCCGTCATACGGGGCCGACCAGAGCCGACATGCCCTGCAGGAAAACAACCCTCGTGAATTCAAGTCAATTACTGACCACAGTTCTGCTCTGATGTAGTAAAGAATCCATATTTTGTTTCCTGATTCATCGTAGAGGGGAAAAAAAGTCACGCACACGAACCTGTGGGAGGCGGAGATGGCCTGGCGAGCGTCGGAAAGGTAGTGGAGGTAGTTTACATCCATCAGAAAATCTGAACCTCGACAGTAACCAACACTGTCTGACACTGACAGGTCTAACACAGACACACAATTCAAAATTAAAACACGTAAACGTGTGCAGGCACTTGTGTTGTGAATGTGTGCGTTGTACCGACCTGCTCCTTTGGGAAAGTGGATGTGCTCAGAGTGCGAATGTGTGTTTTTGTTGTGGAAGTAGACGGGACACCAGGAGGGCATGAGGAGCAGGAAGGAGGCCGCACTGGTGGAGTAACAGTCTCTCTGCTTTAAGGAGGAGCGCTGCTTCCTGCTCAGGTGGCTGCAGGGAATCAGATACCTGAGGATGCAAAGACACTGAAAGTGAAGCCAAATCGATGGCTTGGTGGATGACTGCAGTGCAAATCACAGACTCCTCCTCCTCCGGGTTAGCAGATGGGACATAGACCAAGCTCCATTTAATTTTTTAACTTATCAGACTGACCTGAACACCAGCTGCAGCATGACGTCTTCACAGAACAGACCAATCAGAGTCCTGAACAGAGCCAGAGACACTGTACCCAACTGATGGACACACAAGAAGGTCAGAGGTCATCTTACTTGTTTGGATAGAGCGTCATGCAACTATCAGACCGCTCATCTGTTACCTGGAAAGGTGTGTTGACCCTGCTGACTAGCGTGTCCAGAATGTGCACGTTGTCGTGCGTGTGCAGCAGGATGAAGGACAGGAAGGTTTGGAGGAGGGCGGGCTCGGAGATGGAGCGGAGGAACAGGTCCAGGTACGCCGTCGTGGTCATCACCTCCTCCACTGTCAGCTAAACACACACAGTAACACTTAGGTCACACTTAGGACTCGTTCACACCTTCAGACTTCACAGTTTGGTCTGAACCTAAACATCGGGTGTGAAAGTTTCTCCGGAGCATCACACAGGAAATAATCTCTTTCTGTCACCATCAGCAGCTCAGGGTGTCAGTGAATGCAGCGACGACTAGTGATGTGTTCAGGTACCTTGTGCAGAGCCGGAGCCAGTACAGGCACCAGGAAGCCATTGTAGATGTAACTGAGCAACTGAGACCTGATGGAGGGATGAGCGACCTGAGAGAAACAGATAACGACAGAACAGACAGAGTGATAAATGCTCCTGCGTGTGTGTGTGTGTGTGTGTGTGTGTGTGTGAGTGTGTTACCTTGGTAACAGCACTACAGAAGTCCAGTGAATGCAGGAAGTGGACGAGAGCTGGAACCTGTTGACCCCAAACATCAGGTCACAGTGATGTCAGATTCTATTTAGATTCATTTTTTAAAACGATTCAAACACAATAACTCTGTTGTGTTGGTGCGTGGG